CCCCGCCGCCACCGGGAGTCCCAGAGCCCTGTTAGGGTGGGTCTCCCTGGAGATGTGGGGTGCCCCATGTCACGGTGTGGGCAGGCGTCTTCCCAGCTCAGGGCACAGCAGTAACCGGCCCTTCCCCTCCAGACTGACCCCTGGCTCCCACCGGCATGTGGGTCAGGACAGGGGTCATTACAGGAGGGTGTGGGGGTGTCAGTCCAGGGCATTCGGCGTGGGGAGGGGACTTCAGAAGTGCAGGCAGGAGACTTCATGGGGGGAGGGTTTGGGGCAACTAGGGTGAAGGTGGGGGAGGGGAGCAAGGGATGGGCATGGCCCAGGTTTTCCACATAGGGCTGTGGGTTGGGGTCTGTGGCTGTGTGTGATGGGTGGAGGGTATGGGGGGGTTGGGGGAGCTGTGCCGGGTAAAGGGGGATTGTGTGAGCCAGCTAAGGGAGTCCCTGCCACCACTGCTGGGGGATGGGCCTGCTTTGTGTGTGTTGGGGGGGGACTGTCTGGGAGGACTCCTTGGGAGGGGGGTTGCATATCTGGGTGAAGGCAGAGAATTTGGGGGGCTGTATGTTGGAGGTAGGTGGAGATCAGGGAGCAGGCAGTTCCCACCCCCACCCCAGCATTTGCTGTGCCCTCCCTGACCCTGGGAGGTGTTGAGTTTCCTTTCTGCTCCCTACCATGGAGAGGGAGCGCAGGCGGGGCATCCACTTGGGATGGCTGTTGTCCATTGAGGAGAATCGGCGCAGCACATGGGGCTCCATGATGGGGGGGCTGGAAACCCTGAGCCAGGGAGTGGAGAGAGGGGGTTAGTGGTGTGGTCCAGATGTGACCAGAATTCCTGCCACATGGGGATACTAGTGAACCACCCCCCTGTGGCCTCATGTGTGGCTGTTCCTGACTGACCTGTCCCAGAGGTGGCTGCCCCTCAGCACCAGGCAGGCTCCAGCTGAAGGCCCCACCCCCCCAGAGGTGGCTGCACGTCAGTGTTGGGTGAGCATCTCCAGAGGTCCAAGCTGCCTGGATCAGATCTGGTTGCTCCTCCTGCAGATGCTGCTTCTGCTTCCTGCTGGCTGTCCTGTTTGGAAACCACAGCAGGAAGTGGCTGGGGGCCAAACACTGAGCTGAGAGTGAGGAGGATGGGGAGGGGGGAGGCTGACAAGCCTGTGCTCATGCCAGAGATCCCCATGTGCACACTCACAAGCCCCATGCCAGTGCCTCCATATCGTGCATGCTGGCGTGGACCCTGTGCACCTACCGCCCTGGGCACACACCTGTGCCCTGCGCATGAGGCTAGTCTTCCCCCACTGTGCACCTCCCCACCCCCAGGCCTTTTTCACTGGGCCCCTGCACAGCTGTCCTCTTTATCGGTATTCCAGCACTGCTGGCTACACCACTGGCTCACCCAGCGCTGAGACGTAGTCACCCCTGAGGCAGGGCAGCCAGATGTAATGCTACCAGGGATGGCTCACCCAGAGAAGAGATGCAGCCACCTCTGGGGTGTAGCAGCTGGAGAAGAGCCGCCCAGCCGCACCACAGTGGGGCCAGCCTGACTGCAAGGGGAGCGCCCCCCTGCATCGATCTGTCACTCTGCTCCCTGTAGTCCCTGGCTGCGCTGGAGGCTTCCCAGCTGTCAGCTCAGCACAGGGCCAGCCTTGGCTGGGGGGGGGGCTTGCTGTTTCTGCCAGGTGCGTCCATGGGTCAATCCCACGGTCATGGGTGCTGCAGCCTCTGGGCCAAGCTCGGAGATAGGTCAGAGGGCAGCACCTCCTGGCACAAGCTGGATCAAGGCCAGTGCCACCTGAAGAAAGGCCCCAGTCCCACGGCTGGCTGCCAGATTCTCAGCTGAGGGCTGCTCTGTCGCCTACAGTGTGGTCTTTGGCTTGGGGTGCGTCCATGGGTCAATCCCACGGTCATGGGTGCTGCAGCCTCTGGGCCAAGCTCGGAGATAGGTCAGAGGGCAGCACCTCCTGGCACAAGCTGGATCAAGGCCAGTGCCACCTGAAGAAAGGCCCCAGTCCCACGGCTGGCTGCCAGATTCTCAGCTGAGGGCTGCTCTGTCGCCTACAGTGTGGTCTTTGGCTTGGCTGGGCCCATGTCCCGCAGCCCCTCAGCTTACCCAGGCCGCTACAGTGTCTGGCCTGAGTGGTTGGGATAGAGGCTGCCTGGGTCTGCCCTGGAGGGAGCTACCCTGTCCCTCATGATCTACAAAGCCCAGTGCCCCCATATTCCTCACACCCATTGGCTGGGGAGCAAAACCCTGTCTCTGGCAA